TAAACAGAAAAATGTACGTGCTTTCATTTTCATTAAGTTATAGTTATATCATCTTGACTTTGCAATCACCAGTAATCTTTCTGATTTTACTTTCCAGTCTAACCACACTGCAGATCTTGACACTGGCTCTGCATTAGTCCTGACCATTGAAAGTACATTAATCACTGCCTGCTCCTCAGAGTCTTTAGTTAGCAAAGGTCATTTTAAGAACTTTTGTATCCGCTTTGCTGATGGCTTTGAGACAAGTTGGGATGATTGGAAACCAGAAATACGAGGAGATCTAGTCATGAATGCATGTAAGTGTTTGTGATTTTCTGGACAATCGTATTTCACTTCTGAATCCCCTCTTACACTTTCTTGTGCCTTCAAAACTACTGAAAATCTCTCCAAAAGATAACGGGAAGACTTTGGCCTTTCGAAACCGAAAGAATATGGACCTAAACAGTTGTATTGTATTTATTAAGGATTTCATTGCATTTCTCCTTGTATATGTATTTCTCTACATTCTGTCTGACAGATATGGGAGGAGTTGAATGTGTTGCTTTTATATTAACTTCATAAGATCCCAGTAAACTTTCAGTAGTTAAATATAAATTATTTTCACTTATATTATGGTGACGATTGTTGAATTTATGCAGAATTATTGGAGTATAGCAACATGAATGTTACCAAGTAATTTACTAAATAGAATAAAATTATTTGATTAGAATAAAAAATGCCACTCCATCGCCTCTCATATTTTATTAGTGCTGGGCCTGAAGCTGAGGTGAAATTTGACAAGGGTCGATGAACAGTGCCTAAGCAGTGTGTTTCTTATGCAGGTGTTGTGCCAGATGGTACATACGAAGTATGCTCTAGGACAACGGGGCAAGCTGCAGCAGGTAATATACTTTTGTGTGTTAGTATGCTCATTCTGTTCAAGCAGTTTTTGTATTTTGATGTTGAAAAGTGTCACTCACTAGAAAAATCCTGGGAAGAAGTATTATTTGGCAGATATGTTATTCATACAATGTATTATGACATCTTCCAGCATTTTTATTCTGTCTGTAAATAGCTCAGCACTTCTTCACGTAGATGGCCATGCTTTAAGTTTCTTGGTGTTAGAAACCCTGTTCTTGAATAGTGTACTTGGCTGAAATTGTGAGAACTGAACTTATCTCATCTGAACTTATCTGATGCTTATCTCCTTTCCCAGTGATCAGCTTGGCTCAAGGGATTTTATTTTTTCAGCTGTGTTTGTGTGCATCATTTGTGAAAGAAACATAGTTTACTTCCTGTTAGGTACTGCTAAAGAGCATTTCAGTTGTGGAAAAGGTTTTCCTCAAAGTTCTTCAAGATGGAGAAAACAGTTGTTTAGAGCAGATAAACATGGTCTTGGCAAACTAATGGGAGACCCTGTGTGGGAACTCTTTACAAGAAGAAAAAACTGCTTAAGACTTTTTTTTTTCTTTTTAATCCAGAAAGTAGTAGTGCTGGAACCTGGACACTCAATGTGTTATGGAAGATGTGTGGTATTGATGTCCACATGGATCCAAACATTGGAAAGAGGCTAAATGCTTTAGGCAACACTCTAACAACATTGACAGGAGAAGAAGATATTGATGATATTGCTGACCTTAACTCTGTAAACATAGCTGACCTGTCGGATGAGGACGAAGTTGACACTATGTCTCCCACTATACATGCAGTAAGTGAATCAACCAAAATAAATGCTAATAGTTAGAAAAGACTTGTCAAAGTTTTCCATCAAATGGAAGGGTTTTAGCCTTGAGTTTTTGCATCCTGCATGCTCCCATCTGTTTGCAGACAAATATGTATGTGCGTGTGTGTATATATATATA